GCGAGCGTTTAAATCAGATCGTCCACTACTTCCTATTGACACGGAGATATGTGTATGCTGTTAGTTATATGCCGTGTGTTAATACATAACAAGTCTCACGGAAAATGTCAAATATTATGCTGCATTTGAAAATGTCAAATGTTATTATATATTTTTCTTTCCTTCAGTCAACATTAGACTGAATGGCTGATTAAAACTACTAGGAAAAATAAAATCAAAGTTCTGGAAATTCAAAAGAACCACACAACTTTGACATCAGAACGTGAAAAACTAAAGAAATGATCAAAAGAGTTCCTAATTAAAACCTTGCTATAATAATATTACATGTAAAAGAGAAACCACATTTTCAGTGCGTTCTTAATTTTATTCACGCTGATCTCCCCGCGTGGAAAGGCTCTCGTTCCGCGCATTAAAATTAAAAAGGAATAATAAGTTCCGTGGGGTTTGGAAAGTGGGATTGGACTTGAAGCGTAATGATAAGCAAAGAATATTAATATTGAATAAAAATGGGTGACTTGGGAGCAGGGACGTCCACTAAGATCTAATCAACTTCCCATTCACATTGCGCGTTCCTCATTGGTAGCCATTCCTTTTGCACGCCTCAAGGTTGGAAATTTGTCACCCACCTTATATATTCACTCTTCTCTAAGGTAATGCACACAATATTTACACTGCTGTCAAACAACACTGAAAATAATAAAAATTAAATTTAATAGTGAAGCACAATTTAGGTTATCTCTTTTATGATGAGGGGCTTTTTTATGACCAAATTAATTTAAAAAGCCAAATTAAAATTAAATAATTAAAATAAGTTTAATTGACAAAGTTATCAAACACAAGCAGTACAATCAATCATAACCCAATCAATTAAATTTAATCTCTCTCGTTCATAAAATAAATTTATTTTATTTTATTTTATTATTTTAATTCTATTATATATTTTTCAAATTATCATTCTATAATTAAACAATAAATAAATTTATAAATAATCACCCAAGCCAGGTCAAATCATTTTTATATTATTATATAATTGATTATAGCAAGTAAAATCTCAAATAAAATTTATAATTCAATAATTATGTAATAAAGCTACTATAATCAACAATATCAATTAAAGTATAAAATTTAAAAATAAAAAAATAAAATAACAAATAAAAATAAAGTTAAAATAATTTTTTTCTGAATATTAAAAATTTTAATTAAATTTAAGATCATAATTTATAATTTATCATATTCAAAAATTAGCCCTCTATAAAATTAAAAATCAAACACCACCCAGCAGGCCATCGCCCAACGTATTTGAGAAGCACGTCCGCCTCTGCTCCTCCTCATCTGTTTCGCCAATTTCAATTCCCAGTGTCACGATTTCTTATGCCCGGCGACCTCTCTTATGTTCAATTCACAGATGATTTTTGCGGCCATGTGCTCCTCTCCTCAGAAAATTCAAACCCAATAATTTAATGAGAATAACAAAACTACCTTAAATACATTTAATTGAAAAATATATTAAAAACTCAAAATAAATATAAATAAAGTTTTAAATATTTAATTCTTGACTTAATTTTCAAGTATGCTCATATTCTTTTTATTTGAAATAATTTCTATTAATATCTTTCAAATTGGATCTAGAAGATATGGATAGTTAAAATCTAAAAGTTGAAATTGACTAATAAAATCAAATAATATTCAATTAAATTTAATTAGCCTCAAATAAATATTTAAAAGCCTAAATTAAAAGGATGAAAATATATAAAATTATCATTTCCTATATACATATATTTATTTATTTATTTATAGGTCCCACAAGTTGCATAATAATTGGCTTTCAAGTCTTTCAAGTAAAACATAGCTCTAATACAACTTGTTAGGTTATCTAAATATGAGTGTACTTAAAATGATACATGTGGGGAGTCTCTCGTTGAATAATTTTGAATTTCAAACATGCATCAAAACATGTTTTCAAGTCTTGGGCGAACCAGGTTCTAACAAAGAAGAAAAGATCAACTAGAAGACATCATATCTAACCCAAAGCTTAAATGCTTGAGTTAATGGGTCATTTTTCTTTATTATATATTAATTATTAAGTTTAATTTTATTTATGTGGCACTTTTCATATTGTTTTTAATCCACTCACACCTTCAAGCGTGAATTCACAAGCTCTACATATCAAATATGCCCCTAAATATCAAGTCCATGCACCAACAATCAAGGCCTTCCTATAACCAAGGTTAGTCACATTTTGGACTTCAAATATATGCACAATAAAAGGCTTTCAAGTCTTGACAAGACCTAAACTTATACTACTTGATAGGTTATTCAAGTATAAGTATCCTTAAGATGATTCCACAAAGGATAATTTTGAGCTTTAAACGTTTGCGTAATAACAAACTTTCAAATCTTAAATGAAATTAAACTCTAATATCACTTTATTATGAATGGAAAGCGACCGCTCAAATTAATTAGTTAATAAAATATTAACCTTCGTCTTTCAAGTATGTTTGGTCCCTATGGCCAATTTTGTTTTTAACTAAGTCCTTTTCATTAATTTTTTCAATTATATTTGAGTATTCTTTTGAGTTTGAAAATTTGAAATCTCACCCGTACAAATATTTCAAACTTGATAATTCAAATAAGATCAGTCCTGTGATTACTTTGGTCTTTGATATTAATGGTGGACTCATAACGGTGACCATACAAAGAATAAAATGATGAAATTGGATTTCGAGGATCGCTTTAAGAAGCAAAGGAAATGGCATTTGGTTTTATTACTCAAAGAGGACAAGGAGCTCACTTTTGCAAGCGACTTATATGCCTACTGAATTGAAACTCACCCTTGTGAATGTGAGTATGAAAGGAAGGGAAAGGGTGGAGGGTTGGAGGCCAAGGAAGGAAGGAAGAAGACGCATAGAGGTGGAACTCTAGAACGTTGAAGCCAAGGAGGAGAATAATGCCAGTGAAAACGATTGAGGCAGGGCATCATCTCAGAGACTGAAAATTTGTGGGTTCCACAAATTTGGGTGGAATAAATGAAGGTTACCACCAAATGAATGGAAGGTGATAAATGCTACATCTTCAACTATCGATGAATTTTTTTGTACTACTCTATAATATAGAATACTAAATAGTTATTGAAAAATAATCCGTGATTAAATTTATATTTTTATTTAAAAATAAATGCTTGTTGAGATTTATATATGGGAGAATTATTTTAAGGACCTATCTAAGACAATTAATCACTCCTAAATCCATTGATAACTGAGTTTAAGAAAATTACAACATAATGTATTGTCATTTCCTTGAGCTTGATTGTTAGTAAACTTTCGAGTAATTAATTGTCTTGAATAGGACTTACATAAAAATTTTCCTTTATATACCTTACAATGCTAGTTAGGATTTACCCCCTCCATTAAAAAATATAAAACATTTTTAATCAAATCTCATCTCTCAATAAAGTAGTTACTTACTTTCAAATTAACCTTATCTTTCTATATTCATCCTTATTAAACACCTTATAATAAATATAAAATCATTCATCAATGGAGACACTTTTGAAAAAAAAGGCAATGATTATATTTCAAAAGACTAAAAAATATTTTACATTTTTAAATATTTAACTTCTCAAAAATGTCTTACATTTTTAAACGGGTGGAGTGTAAATTTTATTTTTATAATGATGATTATATTTCCAGGATATTTTGATTGGACTCGGCCATAGTCCCTTGGCATCATAAACTACTTCTTCATGCAAGTTCCAACTGTGCCTGTTTCTTTGGTTTGGAGTTGGAATTAAAAAAAAAAACACACACACACACTCTGAGTTTGAATCTTTGTGGGATTGTGAGCTGCGACCCAACTTGACTCTTCAGGTTTGAAGTTAACCAAAGTCATTAATTTTCTAAATAAAAGCACCTCAATTTTTATTAACGGAATTGAATCTAGGAGAAAAGAGATTAATACTTCATAATTTAAATAATTTTTGCTATATATGTTCCAACGACTTGTTCCCAGGTCTTGAACATGTTCCAACGATTTTTCACGCTGGTCTGAGCAAAAAAAATTCGTTATAAAAAATTATTTAATTCTTTTTAACCAGGACATTTTTTTGGCCAGCTGGTTCGGGAATTGCTTTGTCAAACGACAGCTTTCGTGGACCCCTTTTTATTTTTTCGGGAGGGGAGTCCCACGGTCTTTTGACGACATCGTTTCCAATAGACAGCTGTCTTCTTGAATCTTAACGTCTCGTTTGTTAACAAGAAGTTGGTATGGGAGAAGTGAGAGTGGAAGTGGAACCGATAAAATTATGCGTTTGGTACTATAGAAGTCGGTTCTCCGTGGAGCCTGGTTCAATCAATTGGGCTCCATGCCTTACCCGATGGTTCCATCGTCCTCCTTGGGACTCTTTTACCCCTGCCTCCTGCCTCTCTCATAATGTTCTTGCAAGCTGTAACCGACCCTCCACGAGCGATAGCGACGGCCCTTCGCCAGCAACCACCGCTTGATTCTGCACTAACCGGACTTTGCGATGATTCTCCGTCATCCTCCGCCTGAAAAACATATCTGAAAACTACATCTTTCGGTGAATACCACTGATTCTCCACCATTAACGAGGCTCGTGCATCTGAGTTCCTATCTAGCCCAGCGTTCGCTCGCCAGTTCATGTCCGAATCGTCGAACTGTACTTAAGATTTATGGCGGAAGGGTCGATTTGAGTTTGGCAACATTCAGGCACAATTTGGATGTTTATATTCTTCAACTTTGATATTTAATTCTCTAATTTTCATTACATTTTCCAGCAATAGATCCTGAAATTTGGCTGGTTTATCATGTTTGGGTATTTTGAGATCTGGTGGACGATGAACAAATCCTGGTTTCTAGTAGACAGTGAACGAGGAAGGAGATGACTTTTTTTTTTTAAAAAAATAAATTTACGAGTATTTTGGTATTTTCAGAATATAATTATATTTATTAAATATGATTCATATCTCATTTATACTTTTAGATCCAACCTCCACATCCACTTCCAGTTTTATCCTCACTCCCACTTTCACCAAAAACACTTCGTGGCAAACGAGGCATGAGTGTTAGCCGTAGCGGAAGCAATTCTCAAACGGAGTTCGGAGATCACAAGGCAGGCAGCTTGGGAACGAAATATGAAGCCGTTAGGATGGTGGCTGATGCTGGTTGGCACGCTCCGATTAGCCTCCGTCTGGTTCGGTTTCTTTGACATTTGGGCTCTTCGACTTGCCGTCTTCTCTAACACTGACAGTAGCTTCTATCCTCTCGACTTCCACTATTTATGGAGTTTCTTGCATTTCCACAATGCTGCTTATTTTCAAGCGCGCATAGTTAGTAATCTGTAATCCCCTTAGATCCACAGTGGATTTCTGGAATTCAGCCTGTTTATTTTTCTAGGAGTCACTTTCATCAATGAAATTATCTCCCCACGTTAGGGTGTGGAGTGCGGACACCGTGGGTTTATAGTAGAGGACTTTTTCTTAGGTAGCTGGGGACAATTCGCTACTCCAGCGGCTGCAATGGGTTGAGTGTATATTCGGATCCCAGAGTTGTTTGCTGTGTCAAATAAGTAAGAACTCATCAGATCTTTTAGATCCCTTCTCTAAAATTATTCTCTTCAAAGAGTTTATTTATATGCACAATGCAAAAATATTGAGCCCGCTTTTTCCTTATACCAGCAAACCGGGTATTTGCAGATTTTCTAGAGATCTTTTCCGCGTGAACATTTCCAACTCCGATAGTGCATTTGTGAAACTGTTTTTTGTTAACTGTTTTTCAAATTAGTTTTTTCACTGTTCCTTTTCTTTTCACCAATTCGTTTCTTAAAGTGCTATTTTTGAGGTCAATTTGCACTACAACTATTTACCATGCCATCCAAGCACCTTGACAAAGCATCGTTTCCAAGTTTGCTGGGGTGCAATAAATTCTGAAATAATATTCTCCCATTTTGTTGTTTCCATGCAACAATTCTCGTGTTTTGTAGCATAATAGAAATCAATGGGACTATGCGAGAAATAGAGATGCGAACGTTTTTATTTCAGTTATAAATGTGCTGAAAATTGTGTTGAGGACAAAGCAATATGATGTTTCGAACATGGTGGAATTTCTTATATCTTCGTATTGATATTTTCTAAATTAAAGAGAAGATGGATGCTTGGGTTGTTTCGTCGTTGGAGTCAAATTAGCTGACCAACAAAGTTGTAGAAATTCAGCTGTGACCTAAAAAGGACAAAAAAAAGTAACAAAAAAACATCTGATTTCGTCAAGTGCTTAACCAAATAGAAACTTGTCATTTAGTGAGAGGGTGTTGCACGAGGAAGATTTAACTTGTCTTGCAATAAGTTCTGCAGGTTGGATTGCATAGATAAGGAAATTTAGCTTGTTAGACAAACAGTGAATCTGCTATAGGATTGAAGCATTGGGAGCTAGTTCATTGGTGCTTTCAAATTCCAGAGTATTTCATGTGTAAAGGTCAGGGACCTTTTTGCTCATGCAGGAATGCTATCCTCGTCTCTGCTTGCGTTAGCTACTAAATCCCCAAGTTTAAACACAGCCTGCATGCATCCTGTTCCCATGAGCCCATTGGTTCCCCTAAGATCAGCATGTTAAAACATACAAAAGGGCCCATTGATATCCTTACCTAAGGACTAATAAACTTACAAGAGCGCTTATTAAAACAAAACAAATACCTGTCTCTTATCGATCTGGTGTAGTCAATTAAGTAACGGCAAGCAAGGTGGCATATTATTCTATTGGAAAACTTGTGAAGTTATTTGTATTGACTTTGGTTTTGAACATGATCCTACTAATCTAACGAGTTTCAGAGGACTGATAATACTTGTTAATTATTTTGTAGCGTCTGAAGTTCATGGACGAACATTTGGAATTTGGACATTTTTGACCTGCACTCTTTGCTATCTTTGTCCATTCGACCTTGAAAATAAGCCTCTTTATCTGGATATTTTCTTGTCATTCATCTATGCACTCGGTCATTTCTTGAGTGAGAATACCTGATTTATCACACGATGGCAATTTAAAACCTGACAACCGTTGGCATATTTGCAGGTATGAGCATTTCTTTACTTGTTTAGCACCAAATTGACGTCCATTATATTTCAAAAGTGTCTTGTAGTTTAAGAATTGCTTGTTATTTATTTATAGGCTCCCCTGAAATAAACACACTGCCCATAATTTGAGGAAAGGAAAAGGATAAAAGAAATCTGAAGCGAAATGCATTTGCTTTGCTGTATTCTTTGCCAGTTACTATCATTTGGATAGACTTTTGAGCAGGTGTATTATTTCCTTGTTCTAGGATTTTGTGTTCATGACTGGAAAGTACCACTGTTATTCTAATCTTCTAATTTTCCTATCGGGGACTTCTATAATATGGATGGGCCAGCAGTGGAATGCACACCAGAAGGTCCACTTAAAACTCTATTAAACAGGATTAGCAAGTAACAGATTATGCATAATTTTTAATCATACGGAGTATTTAAACCATGACATATCCTTCTAGTTTATTTTATGCTTATTTTCAATAGAATAGTGCTTGAGCCAGGGTGAGTAAAATTTTGGAGTTTTGCTCTCTTGAAAAGGTGGGACTAAAGTGCATTCATGGGTTGAAGGTGTTGTGCCCTTGTAAACAAAGATACGTGGCTATGAATGCCTCTTTGATTTTCATGCGCCACGTTGAAGGGATGCTTTACCCACTTTGCATTCCAACGTCAACAAGGCATAAAACTTCAAACATCACCTAGAAGTTTCAAGAATCAGAAGATCGGCCTGACATTTTCCAGGATTTTCTTGAAGGCACTTGCTTTAATAATCAAGTAAGACACGGATCTTACGATAAGCCATGGATGACTTTCCCATTCGAGTCGGACAGTCTGTAGACGCAACTCCTTTACCAACTTCTGAATGAGGATTCAGGAAAAAACCAACAACGTTCATTTTCAAACGCTATTTGTCTATATGAACTCACAGATCAGCACCATTAGAGTCGTTATGAGATCTTACAGTGTGTTTTCTTGCCTGATAAAGCATTCCAAAACCCAGAACTAACACAATAGCTTTTGGGGAGGACAAGGTTTACTAACACTGGGACGTTACTCGTACACATTTTGGCATTTCTCTCCAAATCCAAATAACCCACCAGAGCTTTTAAGAAAATCAACTTCATCTCAGTGAAAATTTCGTTGGCGTTGCGGTTTTTAGCTTTTATGTATTTATAATTATAATTTTTGGGTGAAAGTTACTTGGTGACTCGATTTAAATTCATTTGACTTAAAATACATTTAAAATTTTAAGTTATATACATAATGTTAGCCAAAAAAGATAATATGTTTGAAAATAAGAAGAAATTAATTTAGATCAATTTTTATACAAGTATCTGATGTTCATTATTCAATATCATGAATGTCTCCAATGTTATTGATTCCAGAAACTAGTTTACTTGAAGCCCCATTCAAAGAAATTGAAGTAGAATAATAGAAGAATGAATCAAATTTGCTTAGAAATAAAGATGACAACTCATGAACGGTGAAATTCCTCTGCTGATAATAGTTGACATTTGTGCTATTTCCTCAGGTACTTGGGGAAATGAACAAAGGCTAGGAATTATTATAATAATAATTATTATTATTATTTCATTTCAGCATCCAGCTGGCTTGGGTCAGTAATGGGCGGTTTTTGGACTGACATCATTCGAGGGCCTCAAGGCCCATTTAGAAGCAGATATTGCTTTTCCATATTTAATGCCCATTGATTCAAACCCAAAATTTTCTAGGCCTGTATTTTTAATGTCGTGTAAGGTATTCAGAGTTCAGACGCCACTTTTTTCTTTAATTTTTCTGCGAGGTGGTGTGGCGATAACTATTCAAGGATTCCTTTTTTTTTTCCCCCTCCCCTCTTAGGACTAAGGTGTATTTTATCTTTAAAGTATTTGAGCACCTAATGCCATAAAATATTTGTTGGAATATTTTTGTTCCTAAATTAGTTAAATTGGAGCATTCTTTACTTTACTGTTGAAAGTAAATTAGGCGGGTCTTATGAAAAGATGAGAAAGTTATTCTGAGTAAAGCAATTACAAGCTTATGTTATTATCAGTATATAAAATAAACAAACAATTATAGAAATCTTATTATTTATAAGTTATAAATGGTATGCTGATAAAAAAAGAGTTATAAATCGTATGACAGTTCCCCAACTCCACGTAACAGTTTTATTTTTTCTGTAGATATTTACGTATTTCATTGACACCCTATGCCTGTAAAGATAAATATGATTTTAAAAATATCCTAAATTATTATATATACAAAGAAAAAAGAAAAACGTTAAATCCCTGGAAGCTAATGCCTTTTTCAGTATCGTTAATGTCTCCAATCTTCTATACAATTTATGTTTTAGGGACAATTTATGGTCGTTTCTTTTCTATCTGAAGTGATGGTTGATTACTATATATCGAAGGGAGAGATTATATTATATTTGAATATTGTTAAGTTTAATTGAAGTTAGAACTCCAACGTGACTTTCTTTCTCGTCGAAAATCGCAATTCCATGGCGAATCCAAATCCCTGTAGCCTAAACTTATTTGAGGGAGAGCTTCTTGAGATGTAGTGCTTTTGCAACTGATTGCCCGGCATGTCTGGCCTTGTTTGAGTTGTTTGGGCTCATTGAGCCGGACACTAAGTCGGGTTAAGTCCCGCCCAGCCCTGCTCGAACATATATATATTTTTGTATTTTTTTTTAATTTTAAGTAATGAGTAATTGTTTTATAATATTATATTTGTTATTATATTTCAAGTATCATCTTGTTTTCATGATTATTATTTATTTTTTATGATTTTAGTTTTATTAATCATTTTTTAGTTAGTAATTAGTAATATATAAAAATAATAAATACTTTTTAATCATATATAGTTTTAAAAATTATTACTTTTAATCTTAATGTTAGTTCTACATAAAATGCATCTTAAACAAAGGTAATTACATTTTTTGTCATTAAAAAAAAGCTTTTTTTTATTATTTTAAAATTTTATAAAATAATATCATTTGAACGGGGCCAAACCAGGCCCTTGGCTGAGAGGAAGAGTAGGAAGCACCACTTGACAAAAGAAAATGAACGTCCAAAATCCAAATCTTTACCATGTCATGGCTCCTGGGTACCATATTCACTACTCGCATTAAATGCCTCCCTGTGCAACTGCGACGGTCATTTTAACAGCAAAAAGACTGTCCTTTTTTTTTTGGCCTTTTGCTTTATCCAGTTCGGTGTAACAAGGAAAGGCAGTGAAAGTGCACCCATGAAAACCTCGAGAATGGTCTCACTTTTTTTGAAGATCTACCAGCCAAGAAGCTTCCCTTGCCGTAATTACCATTAGAACCGTTCACAGAACGAATGACGCATACATTTGTTGGAGATGATAGCCACTTTGAATAAACTGAATTTGTTTTTTTAACACAGAAAAGAAGATTGCGTAAGCTGTCGTGGCTTGTGTAAATCTCTTGGAGGTGGGCTCTGCAGCTCAGCCTCTCTAATTCTGATACCCCAAATCTTGTGGGGATATGAAAGGCAGGGGCGGTCCTGACCCAACGCTCCCACTCTTCTCACTCTCTCTTTCTGCCAATTTGCTCAAGTCCAATCACAAACCTTCACGCTCCCGCCTTTTCAGGCTTCTTTAATAACTCACAGCCTAGAGATAGCTAGAGACAAAAAGGGTCAGAGTTCTTTCTCCGATTCATAATTAACACAATACTCCCCATTACAATTCTAACATTCTCGTCCAAAAACAAAAAAAAGAAAAAAAAAAAAAAAAAGGCCATACAAACTCGGAGCAAACTCTGCTCTATTCGGCCCGGGTGGGGGGGGGGGAGATGAGTATTTCAGCGAAGTGATACATACAAACTTGTCGCCCCCAAAAAATGAATGGGACTTGTTTGCAGTTTGAAATTTGAATCATGGATTGAAAAAGTAGTTGCCACACTTGCACTTCCAACTCATGGGTTTGTAGTTGGAAAGGTCATCGCCTCTTGAGTGTGTAGTGGCTCTTGTTGCAGAATGTATTGCTGTCGCTGTCGAACTGTGGCTTTGGACCTGGGGGATTATTGGGATCTGAACTGCTTCACAATGTCCACAGCTCGTGCATCTTCCTTCACACCTTGGAGGCCTTGACCCTATCTGAGCTTTTGATTCCTTTACCAGCCCCTTCTCTTCTTCGATGCCCCTCTGAATATATACAATTACGAATACATTTTCAGTTTTGGCACATATTTTATACTTGTTGCACAGTAAAGAAGCTTATGTAACCATGTATGAGGAGGGAAAGGACCTCTTAATTACCTTTGACGCTTCTGTTAACCTGGGAATTGCTCGGCCTGCATGCAAAAACGTACTAGAAAATCAGCAAAGTTACGTTGGACACTTGGATATGAAAAAGCTTGGTTTTTCTGCATTAAAACAAGGGTACATAGAAGTAACCTTACCTTCAGCCATGAACCCTTTTTGGGCGAAGATTGAGGTTGACGCCAAGAGAGTTAGCAAGCATATGATTACTCGTATATATTTGTGCCAACAGACGCAGATTTGATCGCTGACCATTTTCTCTGAGAAAGAGACTGCAGGTAAGAATGGAGGAGTTGCTTCTGGTGAGTACAGAAACTTAAAATGCGCGCCAAAATAAGACGTAAGTGGTAGTAGTAATAAGTAATAGTGCATGAGTGCACTCAGTGTGTGGGAAGCAGACAAGCCATTTCTGCGCCAGAATTTGACAAAGAGAAAACTCAGATGGTGGAAGCGGAAGGCCAAATGTTGTGACTTTGTTGAGTGTTCAGTTTGAAATAAACCAAAACCCGGAAGCTAAATGTGCATGACTTTGTAAGAGAATGAGAGATGAGAGAAAGAGAGAGGGAAGATAAGTGACAGCAGAGAAGCAGTGAAGCTGAAATTCTGAAAAAGGTAGGGTCAGAGATTGAATGCCACCTCCATTATGCAAAAAGGATCACCTCTTCTGAAGTCTGATGCCTTATATAATTTCCCCATCAATTGAGAGCAACGCGGTACGTGGACTGCAAAAGCAGTAGAGTAGGCCAACATTTGACGTTGAGAGAAAGAAAAGAGCTATCCTCGTTTACCGTGCCGCCAAACAACTTCGACTGTGTCGTCATATACTTCTCCATTTTATTTATAAAACACATTTTAAAAAATTTATTTAATTTTTTTAAGTTATAGTATAATTTTTTAAATATTTTTTAAAAATATTTTAAATTTTTTCATGAAAAATATAATATCACTTTTTTAAATTTATTATATAAAAATATATTTAAAATGTTATATATTTTTATTTCTTTTTACTTTTTTTTACATTAATATTAATAAGATTGGTAACAATTATTTATAATATGTAATCCGTTCTGCGCAAAGCTGAAGGCAGAAGCAACCACATGAACCAACCCTAAAATCCCAATTTTGTACGACAAGTTCACAAAGTGGTAGAATAGCAACAGGACGGACATCATGGCCTCTCACATATTCCTCCGCCCATATATGTATAAAAAGTTTTTTTAAAATTTTTTTATTTTTAAATATAACAAATTATTAATAATTTTTAATGAATGAACTATTATGTTCTTATTAAATAAAAAAATATAAACACTCTCATTAATTTATTTTAAAAAAAATTATTTTTTATTTATCATAAATAAAAATAAAATTAAAATATTATTATGTTTTTAATTAAATAACTAACTTTTATTAATTCATGTCATTTAATTAAAAATATTTTATATGAGGTAGAGGGAGTATTTGATACATTCATTTTTGCGCTTCCTTTAGTGAAACTCTGCCCATCCCCATCCCAACACGCCAACTCTGTCCCATTTTTGCCAAGTCAAGTCATGTGGAGTCCAGGTATCTATATCTACAATGTTACCCGTTTACACCCCCCCCCCCACCAAAAAAAAAATGTTGAACTACAACGTCACGAGCAGTAATTAGTACGGGGAGAATTTCAACAAAAGACTCTTGCCCATGTTTAATTATATTTTAAAATGATACATTTTTAAAATTTTACTACAATTTAAAAATATTAATTTGATATTAATTTTTTTTAAAAAAATATAAAATTATTTTTTATTTAAATTAATATCAAAGATTTCCTACTTCACTTATTCATTCACTTATCAAATATTATTAATTATTTTATTTCACTCATTTATTTGTCTAAAATAAAATCAAGTGAAAGTCTAATGATAAACAAGTAAAATAAAAAATGAACAAATAAAGTAAGAAAATTAATAATAATTTATAAATAAATGAACAATACATAATATAGGAATCAGCATGTCGTATTAAGATGATTTAAACACTTGAAATAAAAATAAGTAAAGTAAAGTAATTAATTATATTTTGTAAATAAATGAACAAGTGAAATAGAACCATTAACAAGTAAAGTAAAAAAATTTTAATATTAATTTAATATTAAATCAGTATCTTTAGACTGCAATAAAGTTTTAAAATTTAGAAGTTTTGAATGTAAATAAATTTAGCTAAGGGTCTTTTGTTGAAATTCTTCCATTGGCATATCATAGATTCATCTTACAAGCAAACTCGGGCACACTAGACGATTGACATTCAGTTTTTGGGGGATATATCTTTTTTTAAGTAGACTTGGTTGAACAAGCTCTACTAAAAAGAATCAGTAGTGACATATACCCTCCCATTTATACAAACTTCACGTTCCTGTTTAATTCATCTAAGGTTGTTTTTTTTTTTTTTGGTAAAGATGTAAATTTGGCCTTATAGTATTTTTCAAACAAATATTTGATAGCTTAGATTATTATATGGTACAAAATAAATTAAGAACTTTTAAAAATAAAAATATCCAATAACCTGCCATTAATTGTAGCTAAAGAAAGTTATGTGAAGCTCACAATGACACGTGACACGACACATCAACACGGTAAAAATGCAAATTTAGCCACTAACTATTTTTGAGAAGTAATTGATAGCTTCTACTATAAAAAAAAAACAATTCAACACCTTTCCTTCAATTTTGATGAAACACCATTTATTTTCATGTTTGTAAAGCTCACAAAGCATTAATCTTTTCAATCTTCTTGTCTTCATTCTCAATCTCATATTGAGAAGAACAGGTTTAAAGAGTTCTTATCTGAAGACATTCATGAAAATAATGCCAACAAGTAAAAGAAATAATTCATAGCTAAATTAAGATAGAATCAAGTTTCTTTCATACGTAATAAAATCAAGCTTCTACTTTATTGGCACTAATCTTGTGAATGTCTTACGATAAGAAATCTTTGAATTTTTTTCTTGAGCTGGAATTGAGAATAAAGGCAAAAAGATTAGAGAGATTAATGCTCTATAGGTCTCATAAGTATGAAAATAAATGATATTTAGTCAAAATTGAGGAAAAATGTGTTGGATGGTTTGTTTTTTAATAATAGAAGCTACCCAGTGTTTATGAAAAAAATAGTTCATAACTAAATTTGCACATTTACTATGCCAACATGTCATGCCTGTGTCATGTCACGTGTCATTGTAGATCTCATATAATTTTCGTTAGCTGAAATTAACAGCCACGCTATTAGATGCTCTATTTTTAAAGTTCATGATTTATTTTATATTATTTAATAGTTTAAGCTATCATATGTTTTTTAAAAATAATATATAATTAAATTTGCTACTTTACTTTTTTTAAGCCAGATTCAAAGCTAAATTTATTGCTAGATATATGGCATAAATAAATGAATCCTCATTGTGAAGCTGGTCATCAATTATCTTTAGAATAATTGCAATTAGATCCCACACAAGGGAATTAATTACTTGTGCTAGTGACAATTAAATTAAACTACATTGATCAATGCAGTTTAATTTAGTTGTCAATAGACCTTGCAGTAAATAGTTATCAATATAATTTAGTTCAATTAAATGATAGAGCACAATGGCATCTTGTAATTTATATAGCCTACCCCATCTAATAGGATAAAGGCTTATTGTTATTGTTGTTGTATAGTTTAGTTCAATTATCAATAAATTTTATAATAATTAATTTTTTTGTGTGAGATTTTACCATCATTCTTCCGCTATCTTTCATGAGAGGAATTGGAAGGGACACGGTGGGTCTGTTAATATTGAACGATGAAGATTGGACAGTTGATACTTGTGACGAGTGGGTGAGGGGACTGAAGGAGACATTGAACTTGACATTCGCGTACTGTTGGCACATCATGTGCTCTTGTTATTTCAGCATGACACGGAAATGTTGATAATAAATAAATTTTATGTACAATTTGATATCACTCTTGTTTTGGTCCAAAAATATATATAGTCCAAAAAAATATATGTGTGTGTGTGTGTACAATTTGATATCACTCTTGTTTTGGTCCAAAATATATGTGTGTGTGTGTGAATGTATGAATGTATGTATCCTCTTGTTCCCCTCTTCTTTCCTCTAAATTTACTGCTTCCTCATCATTTTATAGTCCGTACAATCATGGGACGTGCCATTAATAGAGTTTCGTTTTTTTTTTTTTTAAAAAAAGGGGTGGGATTGTGGATATTCATAGGAATCCAAGGAATAAATTCAACCATTCTTGGGTCATATTAAATCTTATGTACTGTACACCTAGCTATGGAGTCTCTCTTAACACTCTTCTTCTGTTAACTAATCGAAATGCCATTATACTATAGTAGATACGAAAATTCCGAAGTGAATCAAGTTTAACCCTACTCTGTCATATCTTACGCCTTCATAACATACTTCGCCGTACTGATTCAATCCTAATGTCAGGATTTATTACTTACTGAAGGCAACTAATGGTGTGGTGGCCAAAAAGAAGGAAAATTACAGGTAAGAAGATAAAATTAAATGCCTCACATTCTTTCTTCTATATCATTAACACTGTTATTGTGTCTGCACAATTCCTCTTCCGAAGCTCCCTTGTATAAGAAAGGGCTCAAACAGAATAAAATAGCAGGGGAACTATAATTCAAAATTGTCAATCATATGCTGGATAACGTCTGCTCCGGCAGAGTTGATACAGTGGAATTTGACCTGAATACAAGTGAAAAATAAGATGATGTTAAATAATTTATAGAATCAGCACAGACTGTACAAGCATACAAATTGCACGCGTAGTGAAGAACCTCCATGGTCCTGATAGTTTTCTAAAGAGAGAAACAAAAGCATTGCGATTCTTCAGCACAATTAATTTCTATTTCAAGATAGAGAACTTGCCTGAATAGTATTATGCGCTAGATATTTCTGTCTGCTGCCACTGAAACTCACATCAATGCGATCCCAGCTCATTTTTGTCAAGCCTCTTATCATCTCCTCTGGCAAGTGTAGTTATATTTTAGTAAAATGATTGAGAATATTACTCAGTGTACATCACCAATGCTTCCTCTTCAATCAGAACCAGAAGCATGCATGTTGGCCCCTAATGAAAATAACAGAATTCAAACTATGTAGACTGCACCATCAAGTTGTCTTCACATTATAGCATTCAAATACAACTAAGTTCAAAGATCTTGTCACTTGCTCTTCCCAAATTCCACGACGTCATTCAAAATTTTAAAGCATAGAATTAAAAGGACAAGCACCATATACAGAACATTTTGACTAGCCAAAACCTGAGAGGCTTCAGTTAAGTACTCTCACTTGTGAGTTCAAAAAGGTGAGCGTACCTTCCAGGTCAATTTTATCGGGCCCATTAACGTTGGTTTCAGCAAGAACTTCCTCAGGAAAATTAGTGGGATTTGCTGCCTCCACATTTACAATATGTGGATACTTCTCGTGCCGTGGAAGATTCTGAAGTAAAACTTGTAAGTTTCAATAC